AAAAAAAAAAAAAAGGAAAAAAAAGGGACGTTTCCACGCGTGAACGTGTGCGTACGAGTGTGGTCGTCGGCTGAAAATACGGTTCTCGCTGATTACGAGTTACGTTCCACGAAATTTTTGCTCGTACACCCCACGTTTTAACCCTTGTTCCCGCTTCGTGGACGTTGCACCGCGTCGCGGGCTCACTGGTCGAGAGAATTAGTATGGGCACAGGTTCAGTTTGTCGCGTTTTATTTGCACACGTGCAAATGATATTTACGTTAATGTTATTCGCGTTGAATTTTCTCGGGCTTTTTATGGAATGAAATAGGTTTTTGTTTTTTTGGAGGAGTTTTTTTTTTTTTAGAGTAGTTTTGTAATTGAAGTTGATAGGATTGGAGATGGTTGGAGGTTGTTAATTCGGGAAGGATTAAAGCTTACGAGCTTTGTAGCTGAATTCGTTATTTTCTGGCAACTCTCTTTGCTTATTAATATAGGGCGATATTTGGTGTAAATTGTGAAATAATATGGACGGGTATCGTAATGTATATGTATTACTTCGTTTATATTATTCCCAAATTTGTTTAATTTTCTTTGGTTTTGGAATATTTCGTTTTCGATATGTAAAATATTTTCTTGAAATAAATGCAGGTTATAAATCTACATATTGTATATCTATAGAAAATTTTATTGTGAATTTTGTATATAATAATGTATGGAATGGATGAAATAAATGTTTTTTTTTATTATTGAATTTATTATGTTCTAATCTGTAGATAAATTTTTGATTAATTTAATTAAAAAACTAAATTGAAAAAAAATTTATTCAATATTAATTTGAACTTGCTATAAATTAACGCGTGATTGATGAACTTACAGAGAATATACTGTACAAATTTGCATTGGCTATTAATCGCGAACGATATGTTTAATGTTCCGCATCCTTGTCTTTGTGTGATCGTTGATGAAATATATACGCCGTTGGTAAATATATCAAGCCATATTTTACGATATTCATGTGTTAAACATGATTTTATATATATCGTAAATTAAATAAAATTTATTAATAAAAATTCATCGCGTTTTTACGTACTTCGAGCGTGAAAAAATATATATTTTTTATAAGGTAGAGAAACATCTTGGAGTTTAAGATTATGAAGTATTATAACTTTGATAATAATTATAAAAAATTTCACGAGATTGTCTTTATCTATAAATAGGACGTAGATTCAAATAGTTCTTCCTTTCCCCCCCTCTTATTATATCTAATGTGAATAATAAAAATAATATTATTTGTTATCAGTAAATGATTAATTTGTAACATGTTAATATGTTTTATATTTCATATTTTTACTGTATAAATTTTAAATTTAAAAATTGCAATAATAATTTTTACATTTTAAACGACGATAATATCATATCTCCGATATAAAATTCGTCTAAATCGTTTCTTCCTTTCTTCCACAAAATCTCTCAGCTATTAAATCACTTGATGGAACACAGAAATAATCGTTTTACGATAATTATCGTTTACAGATAATAAGCGGCGGTAACCTTCGCTGCAGCAATAAAAAAAAATTCCACCTCGATCGATATCATTTCCATTAAAAAGGATGATCGACTTAAATTACCGTAATTTTCTCTGCATTCTTTAAAACATAGAAAACTTATATTTGTATAAGTTTATATTATATTAAAACAAAATATATAAATTATTCAAAAAAACATAAATTAAGATTGAAAATAAAATTTAATGAAAATTAAATGAGATAATTCTGAATTCCATTTCTTTTCTCATTCTCGAACATTCTCAAGATTCGAAAAAGAAGAAGAAGAAGAAGAAGAAGAAGATTGATTTAATTCTCAGATTTTCGAGACGATCTCGATTTCAGTGGAATTGGCGAATCGCGTTGATCGCGTAGCTTGGGATTAAAATTTCACGTTCGAACGCGCGATAAAATATTCTATGCTCCTCAAACATTTTCAAACGATTCCATTGCCAAAGCTTCGTTTTCCTTCGAAATAACCGTGAGAAAACGAAATTTCAACGGATATGTTTCCTTCTCTTAAATTGTATATCACGAATCATGGGAAAAGAATAAACGATTTTCGATTTTATCGAATTTTTAACGATGATCGCAATTTTTAATCTCGTAAAAGAACGAAGAAGTGGAGGAAATAGGATTGAAAAATTGAAAAAAACTTGTTGCCGGCAAGATTGAGATTTTTCTGATTCTTTAACGTAATTTATAATTTATATTGATATATTATATTGTGTTCACTATTATCAATGTTTAAATCCAAACAATTTCAAATCACATTCAGGAAATTATAAACACAAAAAGAAACCAATCAAGTGACACAACAAATCCCAAAAATACAGATATATGTATAAATAAATGTGTATATCATATTATATACATATATGCAAATATATATTGTTCACACTGCTATCAGTACACAAATCCATCCATAATTTCAAACCTGATTTATTCTCACAAAATTAAAAAACCACCACTATCAAAAAGAACCAGCTAAATGACAACAACAGATTTCAAAAATTCACAGTCTTTAACTTATCCCTTTTCTTATCACCATCCAACCAATTCGGATCGAAGACAGAGAAAAATAATTCCCTTTTGATCAAACGGTGCACCCCTCGAACAGTAAAAACTCTAAGATCGATTGACTAATTTTTTCTCCACTAACGAAATCGCTGGAAGTCTGTCTCGGCCTAGCGTCGCGTTTTAAATGCGCTTCCTCTGTCCATAGCCAACCCCATTAACGATTGCAACAGTCCTCTTTCATCCCCTCCTCGCCCCTCTTTCTTCGTCAGAACGATATTCGCCTCCGCGGCCAAAGCAAAGAACGGAGGAAGGGGGTGAGACAGAGGAGGATGGAGGAGCCATCGAGGGGGTGACTCGGGGACAGAATGGAAAATACTTTGTGTCGAGAACTCGAGCCGAGGGTAAGCCGACTGAATGAGGGGGCAAAGACGTGTATGCGGCTGACACTCGAACAGCCCAGCCTGCTTCAAAAGAGTGGCACACAACCGGTGGAGGAGTGAAAGGGATGAAGTCTACCACTGAATGGAGGTTATATGTTTTAAGAAACTTCCGGCCGTCGAACTTGATGGACGAAAGCATAACGCATACGTCGATGATCGTATTCCTTCTGGATATATCAGATGCTCGAGAAACATCTTTGATTTTTGAAAAATATATCAATTTTTTTTTCTTTTTTTTTTTTTAATGAGTTTCTATGAGCAATTTATTTTTATTTCGCTCGATGAAGATTAGATCCTAAGTTGTATAAATTTTATTTTTGAAAAATATATCATTTTCTTTGATGTAAGTACGTTTAAGAGCAATTTATTTTTATTTTAGTTGATGAAAATTGGATTTTTAATTTTGTTGTTTTTTTTTTTTTGCATTAATTGTATAAGATCTTGTTTGAGAAATTTATTAAGGGATGAGTAATTTTCTTGAAATTTTGCTTGAAAAATATATATATATTGTTTGAATTCTGAACAGTATAGTAATGAAATTATATATTTTAGAAATATATAGAGAATAAAATTCAGCAATTACTTTTTATCTCTCATGTATAGTTTTAGTATATCAAATCTAATCAAACAAATAAAATTATGGTTTATAGTGTTTATGGTTTTTACCTAATATTTCTGCTCTTTTGGAATAAAGTTTCCTCATCTTGAACTAATTAGAAGAACTATAAAAACTTTCTAAAATTCTAAAAATTATTTAACTTCAATCTTATTTAAATCCATTACTAAAACTATTATTAAATTTACATTATTTAATTCAAAATTATACCTACTTATTTTACATAAAATTTCTCCCTTTTCATTTCTAAAACAACATCTTAAAACTTTCCTTGTATCTCCAAAACTTCAAAATTAACATCAAAGAAAATTCTTTTGAAAATTTCTACCAACTTCCACCAGAATATTTCTCCCTTATTAATTCAAACCCAGATAATTAAATTATCTCAGTCTATACATTCTCAGTATACATTCTCAGTATACATTCTGCCAAAATTCCCTTCATTTTCATTAAGAACACAGTATATATTCAAGAAGGATCTCTTCTTGAACATCATCTCACTGAAACCAAACTTCTCGAAACGTTCCTCTTTCTCTGACCCGCTTCCACCCTCTCCGCAACTCCGCAACGCAGTTCGAGCATCCTCGCCACAACAACGTAACGGATTGTATACTGACCAACTCCGAGAAGAGCCGCCTGGCAGAGATATTGTCTGGACACCAAGCATTGGGCAGATGGTCTGGCGGTAACGACTCCCCAAGCCGCGCAACCGAGAGCCGCTGCCAAGCCTAGGCAAGTTTGCAGGAGCACGACCGCACTAGCCTCCAAACCGTCTTTGTGGCCCTGGATAGCCTGGAACCGATGTGTTTCATTAGCTGATTGATATGGAAAGAAAAGTCGGCTAGAAAAGTGATAGAAGGGAGGTTCATTTATTGGCCAGATCAATAATGTTGAAAGATGTTTGATGAATAGAATTGGTTAAAGTAGTTTCTTCAGAAGAACTAAAATTTTGGAATTTATTTTTTGAAATTTATAATAGAGGTCTGGAATTTTTGAAAATGTTTAAATGTCCAGGAATCGATAGAATTCCTAGTGTGAAATCAAGAATTTGAAGTTATTATGCTTTGGGATTTATAATAGAAGTCTAGGATATTTGTAGTTAATTTTTAAAGATGTTGATAGTAGATATTCAGAAATTAATAATATGTCTAGTGCAAATTTGAAATTTGCATATTTCTTAAGACTAAATTAAGGATTTGGGGTTAATTTAATTTATGATAAGGTTTAAGATACAATTACAAAAAAGATTTTGAAGATGAATTCAGATATCAAAGGAGATCTAATTAGATCCAATTGTGTTTAAGGATAATTTGATAATTACGTAGCTTGAAATTACGTAGCTTTGAGATACTAGGAGTATAATTGTTGCAAGATGCGGAGGAATGTTGTTTACAAGATATATTTTAGATGGTGAATATCAGATAGTAAGAAAGAAGATTTTATGATAAAAGAACGATAAAATGCAATACTGCAATTATCATAGAATATTTAATAGTCGTGTAAAATAATACTGTAGAAATTAAAACAATATTGAAAAAAGACTGATCGAAAGAACAGAAGAAACAACATTTATATCCAAAATATAAATTTATAATAAAATCTATTTATAAATAGATTTTCAATGCTCGAAAATGATTCCTACAGATCCAGTAAGAACAATTTCATGAATTTCTACAGAGTTTGAAATACTAACTGATATACACATACACAGAAACAGAATGGTAGAGAGGCAGGGTTAGCCACGATTATGAGTATGTAAGCTTGCTAACTTTAACGAAACTTCATTCGAGGATAAAGTTGCTAACTGTGGTCCGTTGGCTGTGGTTTCTCTGATTGTTGTTGAGGTGTACGCATGTTCCTGGCAGTTTGATTCGACCATTTCGAACTGACCAACCATCTGTCAACTGAGCTTTTCGTTCAAAAGTTAACTCCATTACTATTTCCATTTTCGACACACCGTACATATATACGACAGAATTCTAACTGTTGGAACGAAATTTTGATTCAGGTCCAGTTAACTCAACTTCCACCGATTAAATCCACTAATCTGACCACGAACTCGTATTATTTGCGCAAGAAATTGCAGATAGTGGAAACAATCAGCAATTTCTATTACACGACTTATTTGTCTCTGGTTTAGATAAATGAAGTTCTCAATTGTAAATCGAAAGAGAATTGCAACGATTTCAAACTAATCACAGTCTTCGAGTAATAATTTAATTCTATGCAAAGTACGTACAAAACTTTTGTTTATTGGATATATTTACTGGATTTAGAGATTTCAACTATAATTAATAAAGATTAAAGATCCAACAAATAATTCTTTAAGAATCTTTTTTAATCTTTCTTCATTACCTAATCAAAAAGAAACAATCTTTGTCTAATTCTAATCATAAAAATCATTACACTACATCACCTATGATATATTTCTTTCATCACCTATATGAATATTTCTTTAAAGGAAAATTCTACATTATATTTTTCTATTTTTTAGGAAAAGATTGTTTCCTTTATCAATTTATTTTCTCAAAATTGCAAAATTAACCAACCAAGCTATCCAACCAGGTTCACAGGTTCAACAACAACCCTTTTGTTGTAAACCATCAACTTGCCTTTTGGCACGCTAATTAAGGTACTCACGATGTAAAAGGCGGGCGTATAAAGACCGAAACCGGCTGCCCCGGCAGCCAGCATCAACATCCTGACAGGGCGACTTCCAAGAGGGCTGAGATCCACCCATGGCTGCCTTGGCGGCTTCGACGGGGTCTTCTTCTCCTTCAACTTCCCACCTCGTTGATTTTTCACGTGTAACATTGCCCGCCGTTGCGGATGATAGAGAGAGGCGCTCTTATAAATCAAACCCAGGAAGAAGGCCAAGGAGAGGGCTCCGGTTACCGACTGCATCCCACGCTCCCAGCCCAGCTTTCTGAGGAAACATCGTGTTGTTACGATCACAGAAAAGAATCGTTTATTTTTACGTAACTTTCGAAGTTAGAGAGTGCTTTCGCTTTTCTCTATTTACATTCTCTCTCATTTTGTTTGTAATCTTTTAATCTAATCTAACTTGATAATTTAACGAATTGATTGAAAATTCTTGCAATTAGCGACCGATTTTAATTATAATACGTTGATAATAAATTAAAACTTGTTATAAATTATTTTTGTTAAATTTAGAAGTTATTATATTATAAGAACAAAGTTTTGATCGATAATTCCATGAAAATTTGCTATTTTAATTTTTCACTTTTATTTTATAAGGGATGGAGAAAGAAGAATAATCTTGTTCACGCAGAAAGAGGAAATTTTTTTTACTTTATCGCCTTCCAATGAGAATTCTGAACAATCCAACCGGAGAAAAGAGGAATCCAGTTAAGAAAAGGCGAAATTACGAGCGATGGATTCATGGCCGCTTAGGTTTCGTCGAACGGAGAGGGAAAGAGAAAGAGACAGAGACAGAGAGGTTTCTGTTTCGTCGTTGGCTGAAAACGACCGCAAACTTCATAACGCGACGTTTCGCCGCAACTGGAGTCAGTAAACTCGAGCCGGCAGCGAGCCTTCCACGCTTTTGTTTCGACGAGGCATTAAACTTTACACGTGGTGGATCGTTTGTAATTCTATGAGAAGGGAAATTTCCACTTTTTCCTTCCTTCTTTCTTTTTTTTTTTTCTTTTTTTCTTTTTTTTTCAAACTCTTTTCCAACGTTTTTTACGCAGTGACAATTTTTTTTTCCGAGCACGTTATGACGAATAACGAACCTTGGTCCCGTCTGCCTCGATAAATGTTATCCCCGAAACGAAATTTTTTATTCGTCCTACCACGCATGGATTCGTACTATTTGCGTACAAAAGGTGTGAATTGTTGAATTGTTTTTAGCTTACTCGCTCGTCCAGATTTAATCGTTCCATTCTTCTTTTTTTTTTTTTTTTAGTATATTTGAATCTCTTACCAACAAAATTAAAATAGATTTTTTCTCATTCTAATTGTAGATGTTATTCAAGAATTTAATAAATCAACGAACGGAATTTTGAAGAAACGTGAGATAAAAAATTAATCTACGTTTTGTAAATCAAACGACGAATCTGAAACGACATATAAATAAAGATAGAAATTTAAATAATGGGGTCGAAACGACGAACACGTAAAAGCTAATATCCGATTGCTCGTTGGAATACATGAATATTCTGTTTACCGGGTTACTGCATCGTCTTTGACTACGTACGAGCATCATAGAACCCCATGCGAGATGCCAGGTCAGGTAGATATAAACCGCGTCTGACTCGATACGGGATTATTCTCCTCGCCTGTCGGTACATTACCGCTCTACTTGCACAGATGTTGACCTCTTCTACTTGCCTGTATACAAGTGTACCTGCGCTACTTATCTGGCTAGATACGGTATCGCCGATGGAAACGCCCCGTTGAACTTAAAATGGAACTGCTTATCGCGCACACGATATCGTTCTTAATTACATGCACTTTCTGCGAATGGTCACTTCATTTAATCACGATAATAACGATATATCTATCACTCGTTCTTCTTTCTTTTCACTAACGATTCTTATCTTCTTTCGACGATTTGATTTATTCACTTTACGAATTTCAAATTTTTGGATTGGATTTTAAGATGTTTCCCATTCTAGAGTTTTCCTTTCAATTTTTATCGCAAATCATCATCTCGATTTTTGAGATCTAAAGAATATAAATAAAATAAGATATGCAAAATAAAATAATCTTTCACTCGACTAGGAAAAATTTACGTAATTTTTTTTTTCTACTTGACAAGAAAGAATTTAGGTCGAGAAGGGTCGAAGGAACGAGAGACGAGTTGATTCTCGCGTGTCAGCCATGAACAATAGCCCATCCTTATTCGTCGCTTATTGCAGGGGTGAAAGAGGGCAACCGTCAGCCGACGTTTACGACGTTCCTACGCGTTTCCTCGAGAACACCTTTTATTTCCTTCTCTCGGCTGCCACGTGCGCTTTCTTCCACACACGAGGGGCGTATCGTTTTACGGTGGTGTGTTACAGGCATAATAAATAACAGGTGACGAGGTATTATGATCTTGCCTAGCATAGCCGTACGCGTAACACGTGTCGCGTTAATGTCGTACTTATACCACTGGCACGTCCATTCTCGAGCACGCGTTCTCTTGTTTAACGGTTTTATCGATTGCAATATGATGTGCGATTAAAACTTGCAGTGTTTTCTATTTTTATGTTTTCTAACGAACTTGTTGTCATTGAATTCGATTTTAAAGTTTGCTGTATTGAGGAGAAGTAATTAAAATTTGGAAAGCTACAATAAGGGAAATAAAAGAGAAAAATGAAATATTAAAATAATGGAAAGTTGATTAATAAATTGAATTATTAAAATAATTATTAGAATCAATCAAAAAAATATAACAGTTTCATGTAATTGGTATAAATATGTAGTCACGCTAACTTTATGGGAACATATATCTATTTCATAGTTTGTCAAACGTGAAATTATACCCACTTGTCGGACTCCATACATATTTCCCTGTTATATTTCCCTGTTAGTTGTTCAGTTAGCTATAAACTCGTTTTACTCGAGTTTTCACATGATTGTACTTCACTCGGCTAAACGCGGATTCTATTCTACTTGTTTGCATATTACAAGAACGCTTGTTCTACTTTCCACCCGAACAGATTTCGATTCTTCTCCATTTCCATTTCTGTTTTGAATTTCACATTGGTTATCAAGTGTCTTTTCAAAATTAATATCATTCCAATATTTATTTTCAATTTAACGAGATAAATATCTCTCGTTAATAAAGAAATCACAGAGAATATTTCTGCAACGAGATCTTCTCTTCATTTCCCAAGTTAAATTAATAACGAAAAATAAATAATAAATAATAAATAACAATACTCTCTCTTATCTAATTACCCAATTTCATTCCACGCAGAACATATAAGAATATCAACCCTTTTTACATACGAAGACATGTATACAAATTCTTGAAATCTGAAACTCTCCTTTTATTCCTATAAAGCAAAACGAATATTCTCAAGATTCTCTCTTGAGAACCACTCGTAGAAATTATAACTTATAAATTATAAATTTATAAGATAAAAATAAATGATACCGAACGAACGAAGAAAATACCACACAACTCGTTGAAATATAAGAAGTTGAAATATAAGTTACGACTGCAACAGCCGCCGAATACGCGTGGATTTCAACGCCCACGCACTTTTCGTGTAACCAAGGGCAACGCGATTTTTCCATCCCACGCATCCGATAAATCTACCTCTGCCTTCTATCTCTATTCTGGCCGTACTCTATTCAATGCCGGGTATTCACCGCGCCGCCGAGAGAGAAAGAGAGAGAGAAAAAAAAGAGCATCAATCGGGATATCTCGCATCTGAAACAGCGCAGAAAGTTAGCAAACGTCGAAATGATACAGAGACTTGGGCGAAATGTTGGCCACCATCAATCAAACGCCATTCGACGGCCCATCAATCAATGATCAAACCAATCAACGGTGTTGCTCGATCGATGAAACGTCGTCGTCGCGTCGTTCAACGCAGTTGTTGATGAATATCTAGCTAGAAAAAATATTTGAAAAAAAAAAATATATATAAATATATTTTTTTGATCGAACGAGAAATTTTCATTTTCTTGTAATTAGAATCTCGTGTTCTTGGAAAAAGAGAATTGAATTATCGAAATATCGAATATATTTTATATACTATATGGAATTTGAGAAATTAATTCTGAATCGATGTCGATTAACAAAATTATCGTACAACGTTTGAACAATTGTTTTTAACTTTTTTTTTCGATATCAAGCTCAAGTTTTTGAATTTCAAGAAAAATATATATGAACGAGTTGTGATAGAGCATCGAATAAACTCAAGAGCGGCGAATTACGAAATTAGAGAGATGTAATTCGATCGTTATTAGCGTGTGTACGAATAAACGAAGCAGACCAGCATTCGTTCTGTTTAGGAAATTATAGGAAATGAAATTGTATCGTGCGCTGTTTGCCACTAATTGAACGAATTCACATTCTCGTTTCTAGGGAATATTTAGAGAATCCTGTAATCGATAAAATTACATGGTTAACAGACTTTTATTTCACGAGTTCGTTCAAATAATGGAAAAAAATTGAATTATTTTAAAATAACTAAAATTTTATATTTCATTGACTTTTTCATCTATTCGTTTCGATTTTTTCTTAATATAAAATTTTCTTCACCGATCAATTTTCTTCTTGTAGAATTATTATACTGTACATGATTCTACAATGTTCTTAATTTTTGTAAAAATTTCGTAAATCAATTTAATTAAAATTAAAACAAAAAATAGTTCTATCTTCGTTAATAGAAGATCCATAAAAAGACAGTAAAGTTTCTGTTCCGTTTAAAGTTTGAAGATATTTTTGTAAAAAATGTAATCAATGAATGTAAGATAAAAAATTAAAAAAAATGTTTATTCAATTAGCAAGCGTTAAATTTTTACTTTGACGAATGATTTAAAATCGAATCGAAGTTTTGGAGTCGAATTTGCATTTGGATTATTCTCGGCCGAAGAAACTCGGCGCCACGCACCTGCAATGCAGTGGATTCGCTTGTGTGCCATGGATCACCTGTCCAGACGCGGGAAAAGCATTAATCCGTTGGCAAATGGCTAGAAATCGAGTCTGATCTCCGACGATTAAGCTATCTTAACGATGCAACAAGTCATTTTGGTGATTCGAGGATTTCCTTTAGCTATTCACTCATTTCCCTTCAAATCTTTCGATATATTGGAACAAGATTGATAATTTTTAAATCTTTGAATTTTGTTCGTTCAAAAGAAATAAAAATAATTTAATTTATAAATCTAGAATCAATGGCAATAAATAAGAATCAATGCCAAATAAAGATAATTTCATATAAAAGCAAATTCCTTTGAAACGAATTTATTCTTCTTGGAATTTCTCCTATATTTCATCTCTAGAATATTATTTAAGCAAAGTTTTTTCTTCACGTTTTGTCACATAACATGGACAAATACATGGAAAACATGAAAATCGTAAAAACGAATTATAAAACTTATTCGCCTCGTTTCTCTTCGATCCTTAAAAATATAACTTAACACATGATCATAAATCTACGAATTTGGATTGATATTAAAAATAAATTTTAAAAGATAATTAAACAATAATAAATTTTAATAAAAAAGTTTCAGATTAAGTTTAAATTTCAAGAAAAAATCAGGATAAAAATCGAGAGAATGTTCTAAACATCAAAAGAAAACCTCTTGAAATGAACTTATAATCCATCAAACTAGATTTCGACGTTCCCAACTTTAACTTTTAGCCCCGAGTTACCCCGTACCCCGAGATTTAATTATGAGCACTGTCATCCTCGTCAAATTTACGATCTTTCCTCTGGGTTCGTTTAATTAAAAGCATTTCGAACGGGCCATTTCTTCGTTCTTCACTGCCGTTTAATATTCGCCGGTGATCGAACCGTCAAACTAACGAGGAATACCAGGGAAAAGTAATTCGTAATTCTCGAAAGACTTTTCGTTTCTAGGATTGAGACGTCGAGAGCAAGAAGATGATTCGTTCGAGGGTGTTCGAGAAATTTTGGAAAATTATTATTACAATGATTCAAGTAAAAATTTATGAAAATTACGAAGAGAAACGAATTCTGGAGATAAATACAATAATAACGTGATAGATCTATCATTTGTTAGAAAGTGAAATAAACCGATAATGGTCAGACGAATAAAGCATTTCTTCGGAGTAAGAATGAAATATCGGAAAAAGGACATGAAAATATCCAATAAAATAAATTAAATTTGAAAATTATTTATCGTTAAGAAAATTATGAAAGTACACGATATTTTATGAACAGTTATTTAGAACATAATGAAATCGAGGAAGTATATGTATATATTATGTATATATTATGGTACTCGAGTAAGTAGAAGAGGATCGTATCTAGCCAGACAAGCAAAATTTCCGATATAACGAGGAAATTACGCGTTAGAAAAGTAGAACGAGATCATATTTGATTCAGCAATCAGAATTGCTTTAATCATGGAAAGTGAGTATGTTCTTTCATGCAGAACGAGTCCACTTCAAGATATTTTCTTAGTCAATGCGATTTACAAAAGAAATATATATAAAAAGATTTTTATTTCCGCAAGTTTAAACAAGAAAATTTTACTCTCGATTTTTCATTTTATCACACGTAGAAGCATATGCTATTTCCATCGATATACACCATATGAACGTGATATATTAAAACACGTGTTAGAATTTATCGACGTTCGAACAAACATCAACGACAAATAAATTGTACTGACGTTAGAAATGGAACGGAGCATCGAGAAAAATGGACGTGCAATTATTTCTACGCGGAATACGT